ATGATTTAATTAAGATGGATTAAATAAGATAGAATTGTGAAGAGTGATATGCGCTGCCCATGCAAAGAGAGGTAACTGGGGCCAAGGTACTTTACTAAAAGATTTTTTTATGTTTGTTTGTGTTTGTTTGTGTTTTATGAGAATAATTTCTGTAGAAAGACAGGAAAAGATTTAAATATGTAATGATTTGTTTGTTGTTGAAATTTTTAATAAAACTTGTTTAAAAAAAAAAAGATCCATATAGTCAAAGCTATGGTTTCCCTACTATGTATGGTTGTGAGAGTTGGCCATAAGGTAGGCTGCGTGCCAAAGAATTGATGCTTTCAGACATGATATTCTTCCGATTAAAATCGGAATTCCGATTTTTTTGGGAATCGCCCGGGCGGTGCGAACGGAGCGCGGGCGGGCGGGCGGTGCGAGCGGCGGGCGGTGCGAGCGGAGACCGGGTGGGTGGGTGGGTGGTGCGGGCGGTGCGAGCGGAGCCCGGGCGGGCAGGCGGTGCGAGCGGCGGGCGGTGTGAGCGGAGCCCCGGCGGGCGGTGCGAGCGGCGGGCGGTGCGAGCGGCGGGCCGCTGAGCGGCAGGAAAAGGGAGCTGGGCAGCAATTTCTTGGCGCGCGGTGGGGCGTCTCTTTTGGCCGGCCCCGATTTTTTTTTCAGAGGGGAATATCATGCCTGTGCTTTTGAATTGTGGTTCTGGAGAAGACTTTTGAGAATCCCTTGGTCTGCAAGGAGATCAAACCAATCAATCATAAAAGAAACCAACCCTAGCTGTTCTTTGGAAGGACAGATACTGAAGCTGAAGCTCAAATACTTTGGCCACCTAATGAGAAGGGAGGATTCCTTGGGAAAGACCCTGATGTTAGGAAAGATTGAAGGCATAAGGAGAAGGGGATGGCAGAGGATGAGATGGTTTGATAGTGTCATTGATGCAATGAACAATAATTTAGGCAAACTCCAGGAGACAGTGGAGAATGGGGGAGGGGCTGGTGTGCTCTAGTCCATGAGGTCACAAAGAGTCAGACATGACTTAGCAACTGAACAACAAAAACAAAAGAAGAAGAAAAATAATAATAAAAAGGATATCATAAATGTAAAAATATTAAAAGGCTAAGATGGAGATAGGTAACTGGAGAATTATTAAATCATTTATTGCAGCCAAGGTCAGAATTATTATTAAAATATGGAAGGGGTCTGCTTATTGAATGGTTGTGTGACTTGTTTTCAAGTGTTTGAAAGAAGGTCAAACAACTGGACAGAAGAATATGATTATTGTACTTCTGTGCAAAGGAAAATGTAACAAGTGACTACCAAGACTACAGAGGAATTAGTTGTTAACTTTGTTAAGGAAAATTCCAATGTGTTGATTTAGAGAAAATATGTGATAAATGAATATTAAATCTCAAAAGAAATACATGAAGGAAGAATGAATGCATGAAGAGTAGGGGAAAACCAAGAAAGTATTGGTTTAATAAAAAAAAAAAAGAGAAAGCAAAAAAGAGAAGTGAGAACTTGTATGGGCCTGGTGGAAGAAAGGATGGTTTGCAAGGATAATAGCTCATGGAGAGGAATGGATAGTGATGATACAGACTAGATTCAGCCTGTTTGCATTTCATGATTGGTTTGTTATTTCTTATTTGTTTTCTGTGCTTTGCATAATGCCAGGGGATAGAATGAATGATAGGCGTGCTTGTATTTTCAGTCAGAATACAACCGATTTAAAATGTTTTTGCAGAATGTTCTGGCTAAGGCTGGCCTACCCATGCTTGGAACAAAGTGTTTTGTTTATTTTCCTTTTGCTTTGTGCATGTTCCTGTGCATTATATATTCTAGAGGTATCTAGTATTATGATAATCAAGTGGCCAGCCTTGAAGAAGTACATATCTTTCGTATATATCTCCAAAGGAGAGCTGGAATATGCAGTAATTTTGTTTTGTATTAGCTCTGGTTCTGAATCTGGAAGTGGAGGAGGGGGACAGAGGAGGAGGTCAACAAAGTCATGTAATATATAGAGGTTCTCTTACACTGAGGGATTTCAGAAATATCGTTGTTACTCATTGACAGATATTTGCTAATTAAGTTTTTATATTTTTTTCCAAATCAATTTCTTGAGTTTCTTTCCAGTGTGGTGGTGCCTACATGTAGACATCTTCACTGTAAAATGTTAAATGAAGTAAATAGGCTTGAAAAATAATCTTAAACTATTTCTCCATCTTTATTGTACAACTCAGTCAACATTTTTTGGTCAGATTTTATTCTGTTGGTATGGCATGGCATGACATGAATTGGAGCTGGTTTAATTCCAAACACATCCCATCACCATCCAATTGTCCTGCTTTTCTTATGGGTTCTGTTTTACTTGTAAATTGTGTAGTATTGCTTAACAGGCATGCTTCAGATCTTGTCTTCTTTCTGATTTATTCTTATTCTTTGTAACCATTTATTTCCTTCCTTCCTTCCTTCTTTTCTTCCTTCTTTCCTTCTTTCCTCATTTCTCAGGAGTGGTTATTATAAACAATTTACAGATGTAGAGATAAACAACTATTTATAGTCGAACCCTCAGCTATAAATATTATGTTCTATCAGAACTACTTTAACTTATTCCAAATGAATTGATTATCATAGGATAGAAATTTTGGGTTGTTCCTTTTACCTGATAGTATTTAATAAATAGCCCTACTCAATAGCCCTATTCCTGACGTGAACTATATTAAATTTCATATGAATTTCTTTCCCTAGTGAATAGCAAATCTCTTCCATGTGAGCTATTGGTAAATATTATTATTAATATTGAGGTTTCCTCCATTGTTAAACATTCTTGTGATACATTCTAACTACTTTTACTGCAATGCAAATAAACTGATTGATTGATTGATTTAAGTGTCTCTTACTTCAGTAATTAATGTCTCAATTAATACCAAGGCAAATTTAAGGATAGAACCAACAAAAGTTCAGTCACCACCACTAAAGCAACCAAAATGCTGCTGGCATTTCAGCAGCAAGGTTTGCAAATGTAATGATGAAAATGGCACTATGAAACATTTGGGACATTCAGCACTCAATGTTCCTTACCTTTAATATCTATAAATCTCCCACCCACCCCAAAAATAAAAAAGGGGTTGAAAAACCACTAGAATCATCTCTATGAGACACCTCTAACCTGGAAAAGAAAACCTGCCATTACATTGATAGCAAAGAATCCTGGCTAAAAAGAAAAATCCATTAGTAGCACACAGCAGTGTTTAATTTTCCCACTTGCATTTTTTTTAATCTATCATTTTCAGCTTTATTTTGAAACTTACACAGTCTGCAAGTTTGTCCTTTCACCCTGAAAGGACTTTCTGTGCTGGCAGCCTCATTAGTGGCTTCATTAGAATTAGCGTGTTGCACTTATAAATGCAATTATTTTCAGAGAGGGAGAGATACAGCCAAGTAGAGTTAATATATTGAAATACGGCTTTAATAATTTAGATGGAGAAAAAGACAGAAGCCAAAGTTTCCTAAGTCTTTGTGTTCTTATTTGAGAAAAGATTTGAGAATTTATGCCCTTGCTGTTGATCCTCCCACCATACTTATAAAGGCTTTTAAAAATATGTAAAATATTCTTCAGTGAGCAGTCCGTACAAAAAAAATGTACTATATTTTTCAACATTTTATTTTTCTGCAACTATTTTTTTATTTAAACATACTGCCATCAAGTGGCAATTTGTATAAATAAACCATAGTTTGTATCTTACATGGTCTTTCAGTTTCAGAAGTGAAATGGGAAAAAATATTCTAAACTGCATTTTTAACATTTTTAAGACACTTCTCTTAATTTATTTCCAATTTGGGGTGAACATGTTTTCACAATATGGAAATGCTGGAAATATTTCAAAATAAATGAAAACCGGGTTCTTAGGATCCATGAAAATTAGGTAAATATAAAAATAGGTAACCTGTATAGTTTTGGGAGAGAAAACACCCTGTCTTTTGTCTAAAAAAAGATTTTTCTTCCAACATGGACTCTCAAGTCAATAAAATAACGTGTATTAGGTTCAGAGAAGCTAAATGTTGTTGCCATTTGGGGAAAAAGCACTTTTGGGACATTACCTCATCTATTTCTAAGTTCAAGTCATCAAGGCTAATATGGCTGTTTTTAAATATTTAAGTTCTTAAAAATTGTGTAAAAGTTGTAAAAATATATATTTTTTAAAGTTCAGTAAAAATGTAATGAAACATGATGACATCTGTTTGTCTAAAAGGGCTGCTTTGTTGGATTTGACCTGGCCCATGCTGTTGGCAATGTAGAACTACATTTACATGAGTGGGGAGTTGACTTCGCTTGCTGGTGTTCTTACAAGGTGAGCATATATTTATCATTCCAAATAATTAGCAGTAATTAATTTCAGTTGCTCTTGTGCAAACTCAGAGCCAATATCGAACAGTTGGTTAAATGTCAGAGAGGATAACCTATTATTTATTTCAAACAACTTTCGGTATATTTTAGGATAATGAATAGTGCACTTAGATAAAACGAGCATCAGTAAAAATTGATAAAAAATAGCAGTACGAGTCCAAAAATGAGAGTGAGAGAACTTTCTATAAATTAGTATGAAACAAAAATTCTACTAATGCATAACAGAACTTGAAGGATACATTTTAAATGTTCTTTCTCAATCTAAAGAAAGTCTAGAAATTGAATGGATAGTCCCTTCATGGACCACTGCCTTGTCATGACTAAGGGGCTTGTGCAACGCAAAGAAGCTATGAGCTATGCCATGCAGAACCACCCAAGACAGACAGGTCATAGTGGAGAGCTCTCTGATAAAACATAGTCCACTAGAGAAGGAAATGGCAACCCTCTCCAGTATCCTAGCCAAGATAAAACCCATGGACAGTATCAAAAGACTAAAATATATGACACCTCAGGTCAGAAAGTGTCCAATATGCTACTGGGAAAGAGTGGAGAGCATGTATAAGTAGCTCCAGAGGATGAGATGGTTAGATGGTGTCATCAGTGCAGTCAGGCAGGGGCTTGAGTGGACCCCAGGAGACAGTGGAGGACAGGGAGGTGGGGCTGGTGTGCTGTGTGATCCATGGGATGGAATGGAGTCAGGCACAACATAAAGACTGAACAACAATCTATTTTTAAGAATCCTCTGTTCACAGTTATTTGGATCAGTATGACAGTACTCTCCAAAATAGGGGGAAAAAAGCTTGTTTTGCTTTCTATGCATGATGAAATCAAGAGGATATTTAAATGAGGAATTCCATCTTACAGTATCTGAATTCTGGAGCTGGGGGTCTAGCCGGTGCTTACATTCATGAGAAACATTCCAAGACTATGAAACCAGCGTAAGTATACTTCTAGATTGTTGGTAGAAATATCCTTCTGGGTTCAGTTCCAAGTGGGGAAAAAGACACTGGAAACATGGACACTATTTGGAAAGATGGTTTAATGGTGGACAGCAGGACCACATGGCTTGAAGCTCCAAAGTAGGATGATCACATGCTCCAAGGTGAAGGAAAAAGAGAAAAAAGGGGCCGGCCAAGATGCTGAGACCCTTATATGCCTTAGTGTTTCCTGTTCCTGTGCAAGAAATGCATCCCCTTGGCTGTCAGACTCCCAGGGATGGGGGGTCTTAGCTAACTTTGTAGGCTTCCCTGAGTTCCAGGCTTGGTTGAGCCTTGTTGGATGATGATGCACTGAAAGGGCTCTTGGGCAATTGTTATACCTTTACCTGGAGATCTTTGTTATGTAAAGTATTCTGGCCCAGGCCTTAATGGCCACCCATTAACAAAGGTGGGGAGGGGATGAGTTTTTGCCTCTCTGAGTTTCTACTTTACTCTTTTTAGGAGAAATATTCTGCCTTTTTAATATTTCCCAGGATATTTCATTTTTCTAGGAGAGGGGTGGGTGCTAACTTCCTACAAGACAATATGTGCTAATATTAACTTTTTGCTGAATTCATTGGTTTGTACTTATAAAAGTGTTGATAAATATAAACCACATATTTGCACGGGTTATGATTTGGTCCTATGAAAGGTGCATATTTTTCTGCCTTTTGCATGTAGAATGGATTCCACATTTTTAGTTTTTTAAAACATTTTTATTGAGTTATAAGGTAAAATAAGATGCAAAATACAAAAGTAAATAGCAGAACGGTGGGGAAGAAAAGGGGGAGGAGTAGTGAGGAAGGGTAGGGAAAAAAGTGAAGAAAACCTCGACTTCTGACTCCCTCTGTTGCAGTAAAATAAGGCATTAACACTAAATCAAAACTTTTTTTTTCAAAAACAGCATTTTTAAAGTAATAGGATTTATATTTCATGAAGTGCCAAGGGGTGTCTGTCTGTCTGTCTGTCTGTGCGTCTCTCTCTCTCTCACACAGACACACAGACATACACTTAGTATATCTTGCACATGTTTGCAGTAGTAAAAGACTGTCTTTGCACAAGTTGAAAATAAGCATTTTCTGAAATAGTCAAGCGCTCATGAAACATTACACAATCACAATATTGTTCTAAGAAATTTGCACAGAGAAGAGAGATATGAGTGGAGATCTAGGCTTCCTACCCTGCAACATCACTGTAAGGGAGTGTAGAACTTTCTGGAATGATCCTGTGACTATACAATGTTATGTGATGCTCAAGCATTCAAATAAATTCAGATCACTTGGCAGTTGCAGGAAGATCATATCATTTTGAGCATGTGTGAACCATTTTAATACAGAGAGTCAGAGATACGTAACTCCATGTGCTTAATATAAGCTCAGCTCTTCTCTTCTGTACATCTTCAGGTTAGGATGGCAGTTGGGATCACAGTGATTTGCCATTGCTCGTGGTATGGTAAAGCACAACATCACATGACTGCATTGCTTAACAACAGCAATCCAGGCAGACAGATTGCATTTGTAACCCCAAGATGTGTGAAGTGGAAAGCAGTGAAGAGTCTCAAGTAAGGAGTGTGGCATTGCCACAGGAGCATGGGGGAAGCCTGATGCAAACAGCATGTGACTTGGTGCTGCGTAAGCACAGGAAAACCAAGGAGGCAAGAGCGTAGGTGTGCACAAGCACAGGAAGGCCATGGAAAGGAGGGATCGGTGCAAGCATGGGAAGGCTGAAGAAAGAATGGTATACGTGCTTGTGACTTCCAAGGAGTCTGAAGAAAGGAGGCCATGGATCCATGTGAGTGTAGGGAAGCCATGGAAAAGAGGGTGTGGTGCAGTGCTCAGTGAAGACCAGCGGGGTGAGGATGGGTAGGAGACTTAACCAGTATGATTTGTGATCTTCCCTGCCTGCTTCCCTGTTGACTTTTTTCTGGGAAGTGAGCAGGGAAGATCATGTAACTGCAGGACACTGCAACCATTGTCAGTTCGATCTGGTTACCAAGTGCCTGAATTGTAATCACATGGGTATGTTGCAATGGCTGGATCTACGAGGACCAATCATAAGTTCCACTCATTCCTAGCACCATCAACTTTGAATAGTCACTGAACGAGTGGTTGTTAAGTGAGGACTGCCTGTGTACAGTACACAGTGTGTTGTTGTTTTTACTTATGAAGAATCAACTTGTTATTCATCTGGCTTGAACGAAAGGGCAGTAGATACCAATTGTTATAGAAATACTTGATCAAAAAGACCTCTTTCTCTGTTCTATGTAGACTTTAGGGTGGGAGAAAGTTCACCAAACTGGAGTTAATATAGCCTTCCATTTTTCCTTAAAGAACTATTTGTTTTAATGGGACCTGATTTGTTAGGATTACAGCTGTGATAACAAAACTGCAATGTAACAAGAATTTTAGCTTTCCCCCACATCATGTTGGTGTTCTGGAAGTGAACATCGGAAGCCCCACTTTCCCAAATGTGTATGATAGAAGTGTGATATACGGTTCAAATTTGTAGGGATGAAATGGGTATGGGAAGAAAAGACACTGGGCAAAAGCCACAGAGATTCTTTGTTTTGTAGATCACAAGGGGAAAAGATAGCCTGCTGCCTTGAGGAGGTTGTGATCTAGTATGATGGAATTTAAAAAGTCACACACCTGACATGGTAAATCTGCACACAACCAGGAAATTATAGCTATAGTAAAAGATATGCTAGCATTTCCCGCTTCTCTAAAGCCTTGTTCCGGGATAACATATCCTATTATTTTCCTTCACTCCTCGTGTCTTTATTAATGTGAGAGCATAAAAAGAGTAGCAGTCACTGGGAGAGAGGCAGAGAAAAAAATTAGAATGACAGAAAGTCATGTTTGAGTGTTTCCAGTATTTGTCCTTTCCCTCAGGTTACTGACCAAGATATGCTCATTTCTGAAATATGATCCCCTGATATCAAGAAAAAAACAGGAGAGAATTTCTTTTAAGAAGCTCCCCAACTTGTGTTGTAGGATTGTAATATTTACACGGTAGTCTAAACATTCATGGCATGAATCATGTTGAAACATAATTTATAAGATAACCTCTGAAATTTGCACATTCCCTCTCCCTGTGAAATCTATTATTTTGCATGATAAATTCTCCTTATAGCCTTTATGTAAGAGCAGCTATTCAGTCCTACAGTTATGATACTTACAATACTCCATGGAGAATCGGTTGTAAGAATTAGTCCTTCTGGTTGTATAATCCCAAGAGAATTTGGCAGAAGAAGGAAAAGTTTGTCGCTCTATATAGGAAACTAGCTTCCAGCTAGAGAAACAAGGATTTAGCATGATATAGCATGTGCAATCTTTAACAAACAAAACTAGGTCATCCCTATAGAAAACAAAATGTAATGAAATACAAAGGGCTGAATCCAGATTTAATGCTTGGTAGAGTGCCGAGGATGGTAGAGAAAGAAGATTCCAGATTCCAAGTTCCTTATGGTGTTTAATAGCAAACTGAAGGAATGCTTTTGAATCGGGAGACAGAGAATCCTGGAATCTACAACATTAGCATAAAGGATCAATGGTTTGCTGTTTCAGTGTCAAGACTTTTTTGTTTTGGTTCTAGGTTGACAAAGAGGAATAACCTTTCATCCATTCTTATGGCAGAATTCAACCAACAAAGTATGATTGTTAACATACAGAACAATGTTATGGTGCCATCAATGTTATATAATCTGCATTAGGCAGTCTCAATATATCAGAAAGAATTACAGCATAAAAGTCAACTATAGGGAAAAAAACAAAACAAATGAAGTTAAAATAGTTTATACTTGCAGTCTTCCAGAATAGCCTCAGTTAAATTAGTGTTTATTTATGGATAAAAGATTGGTCTTCAGATTTGGCATATTAGTTCCTAATGTTCAAGATCTTTGTCATCTGTTTCTTTTTATTTTCCGCCAAATATCATCGGGTCACCCAGTAAGGCATTGAGACAAAACTGAATTTGTCTATGTCATAGTATTCCATTTTGTAGCTGATTTAAATGCAGAACATTTTGCTCTATGCTGTACAATCTGTTAGTGATATGCTGCTTCTGGAAAGTCTTTAGTCCTCATTTGAATCAAGGATGACACCCAGTGGCCAGACAGGTTCATTCCAATGTATAAATGGGGAACATGATTTCATTTCTTTTTTCTTTTAGTGATCTGTTCGAGAAATAATTAAATCCCTCTTCCTCATGAACTCTCTATTGTCATTTAAATTGTTTAATCACTTTTTCCACATTGTGTCTCACATGAGGGTAACATTTCCCATTGCCCATAGAGATTTTTTTTTTTAAAAAAACCCCTCTTTCATATTATTGATATTTCAGAAAAATAATTCATCTGGAATTTATTGAATTACAATAAGTGCAATCAATGTAGCCATATGAATCCCTATTCTTCTGACTAATAAAGGACACTTAAACAAAGTTTTTTATCAAGATAAATTAGGATGCATTGTCAATTCCTAATATCATTTGTACTGCTTTTGAAAATTGTTACACTAGTTTCATATTATTCCAAAGATAAAACCATAAATAACAATAGCACTTAGACATATGCCATTCTTTACTGCTTTTCAGCCCTCTCTAAGCAGTTTACAATGTCAGCATATTGCCCGCCTAACAATCTGACTCCTCATTTTATCCATCTCAGAAAGACAGAAGATTGTAAATGTTCTGAATATTAATATATTTAAAACCTTGACTTTGTTTTACAACTCCTTGGATCACTTCTGAGATAATGGGGGATACTGTACTAGAGTCTTCTTCATAAGAATGTGAATTTCAGTTGGTAGGTGTAAATAGTATTAGACAAAACAAAGACCATAAAATAGGAAATGTAAGGCAATAGAGAAATATGTGATCAGTATTGCTTTCACCGTTCTTCTAATATAACACACCAGACATGTTCTACAGTTCTATAATCTGCAGATTATTGAAATAATTGT